GTATCTAGCTGAAGGACACAGACTTAAAGCCCCCTTGTGTGCAGCCAAAATGACTATCCCCTTCCAGGTATATGACAGTCTACCATTCTGCAACAACATATTGGAGATTCCAGACTGGGTTCTCCCAACATTTGGGTTGATAGTAAAAAGGGTGCGATGTGATCTTGACTCAGACTATTGAACCACCACATGCAAACGAGATAGACTACCAAGCCCCAACTCTTAATCCAGTTGTCGCGGAAGGAAAAATATCGATTACGTTTGCCAGACCGAAGACCCAATTGGTTCTACACTTGTTACCCGAAAAGAGGAATCTGGCCTTTTGGGCGTTCGCCTCGTTTATAAACCCACTGCGCATGTTCCTAGTTTCACTCGATTATCTCTTGCTCGCAACAGACTTGTGCTGCCCGTTCGATGTTGACAGAATTCCCACTGCTAATGTACCATAATACCTCTTCTTACCAGATGGCACATTATGGTGTTTCAGTCTTGACGTTCGATGTCTTTCGGGGCTTTTAAGGGCATGTAGTTAGTGTCAGTTCCATTGCTGTTAACCCCAGCGCATTTAAGCGAGCATGGTGTGCCGCAAAATTAGTGCGCGAATGTGTGTATTCTCCTACACTCCATGTTGACGCTTCAACTCCGTACTTGCTGTGGTTGTAGAGTGTTTATGGCCTAACGGTGTGGTGCTGTAATTTACAGACTCGTACATTCTAGTAGAAACAGTTGAGTCGCAGTCACACAGAAGTAATCATCTGAACATCACTCTGTCGGCTGCCTAACGATTGTACTTGGTGGGCGAACGTAGTATTCCCTCTTCAATATATTGTTGGTATAACCTCGTACTAGTTGTTAACTGGAGCGGAAGGTGTTCGCTGGGATCAGCCTCGTCTACTCAAGCCGGTAAGTCAAGCAAAGGGGGCAATAGAGCTCGGTACTTTCTTTTCGCCTTGGAGTCGTATGTTCTCAAGTACAACAATACCGGTCTCTGTTATCTGTGCGTTCGTGCTCCTCCTCTTGTAATTTTTGGGCACGTAACTAGTCTGCTACATTGTATTCAAATGGTATCAAAGGACATCCAGCCACCAGCCATTTGAGAATCATGCACAATGTTCTGACGGGTTATCACGAAATGTTTTCTGAGCTACAATATCAGTTGCAGACAATCGCTATCTAATGCACTCATTGAGATTTCCTCCGAGATCATCACTGGACACGATTCGCAATACGCTTGTTGTGTTCTACTATATGAATCTCGTTCTTGAACTAGTATAATATTACAGAACGTCAGTAGGGAATACCCTGAAAGTTACTCAAGAAATGTTAAGCAGTCAAATAACAGTCTGTAGGATCTGATTGCGAAACTGATCTAGGATTAGGATGCAGTGTAATAGTTACATGTGACCTCACCAAAGTGGAATGCAGGCAAGGTTTCATCCATGGGGAGATTGTATACGAAAGCTAAGTCTTTTTTCCTGCTTCCTAGACAATGCCAACATGTTGCTCTAGCCCGAAACCCCCAAAGTACGTCACCCAGGAGGCGTCTTAAATAAACCCACCTCTTCCTGTCTGTCCATTATTTCGTACGACCGATGTAGTTTATGCTAATAGCTCGGACTTGTTTTGAATCCTGTTCATACAATTCATATGTCTACTAGCGCAGTGACTCTAGTTCTTAACGCTGTGTTTCGGTTTAAAGCTCTGCGGTCTCCGCTGCATTAGGTTAATGTACTCTTAATGTATAATTATCTTTTAAATTGGACTAGCCAGGTGTTAGATGAGAGAAACAGAGTTACCATGATCATAAGAGATAGGAGAGGAGTAAATCTTTCACTTCAATCAAAGACTAACCTTCGGAGAAAAATATTTGTCATATATGGTGATGCAGGACAGGAGAATCAAGGATAATCTCTGATGCTGGGGAGACCGACTTGAGCAGAAAGCCTTGATTCATAAATTATAACCATAGGAAATTAAGAATTCAAGTCAGCGATGAACTTGCTTTTCGATAATTCTATTCAAACTTATACATATAAAAATGGTTAAAATCGCCACAGCCTAAGATAGCTGGGCTAGGGTTGATTCGTCTAAACTGGCTGCTCTAGCTGTTGGTCAGATTCTGCAATCGACAAAGTTTGTAGCGCACATGGGATCACGGGATTACAGCCTGAGACCAAATTAAGCGACACTCACGGTGAAATCAGGGCCAAGACAAATGTAGTGTCTGCCTTAGCGTCCTCTCTTTTCACAGTTCAGGTTGCATTAGCCGGATCGCAGTTGCCTCGGCCGTCATTAGTAGGCGATTTTCTATCCGTTTTGGGTATCGTTTTAGTGCAGCGTAGAAATATTTGAAAGCTTCCGAGGTCATAACTTTATGGCCGCTTCTGAGTACTTGTTCTAAAATTGAGCTATTATTATATCCAACTATGCGCTTCCGTAAAGCTGCTGGGCAATGTTCTGCTATCCGTCTGGATAAACGTATCCTCATGTGTCCGACGCGTCTTACTTCGCGGGTGCAAGTAAATTGATATAAAAGATTCGGACATGACTGGGAGTCGAACCTTAAGATGTTGGGTAATAGACCGTGCAGTTTCTGCTACAACATACGGGTAGGCATTAGGGAACGACTTGGCTATTGGACTTAGGAGTCTGCAGTTCAATGATTCGAAGGCAGGAAGATAAACATCCACTTTCGGCACCGTCACAATTGTTTCTCGTCGGTCACGAATCACAGAAACTCTCCAGGTGAACAGAGCGGAGTAACCATTATCTTATGACATTCTAAGAATGCAATCCTATTCACTTTCCAAAGTTTCGGGACTACAAATTTTGTAGGCGCGGTACTACAGACAGCGAAGTAAGTTTCGGTCATACTTCAACGATACAAAGCTGCGAAAGTGCGTAAAGTGGCCAAGCCAATTGGACTTTCGATATACACTTCTCTGAATAGGTCATTCTCTCGTCTGCTTAGCGGTACATCTAGAACGACTGACTTCCCATTGCTTTCAATTCCGCAGACAAACTTCAAAGACTGTGAGCTATTGAACTGATCTAGCAGATGGACTACGTCAGAGTTTGAAGCACAAATTATAAAGGTATCATCGATTTTCAAGTTTTGCAGCACCCGCCGTGTGTCTTGGATTGCCACACGCAATCTAAGTTGTGGTCTCGGTTGAACATGCATTCAGCCTCTACCTCCAGTAGTAATCAACGGACGTGATAATTTGTCTGAGAGACAAACGTTCAAGTTTGGCAAGTAAAATATTGGTAGAAACCATCCTAGAGGCGAATCCATCGCAATTCCATCTATCTGTCAATTAAAACCTCCTTCACATGAACTGCCTGTCGAAAGTGCGCCGTAAGATCAGCTCCTTCAATATAATTACTGTGATACCAATATCTATTTGCTTCTCTGTAATGTAATCTCAGATGAAATTGACATTTTCTAGTAGCGGAACGTTTGTGAAAAGTTACTCGAGGTCGAACGACAGCATTAATTTCCTGTCTATTCTCAGCTGTTTCACCACTGGAACAAAAGCAAAGGTATCTGCAATAAATCAGAATACCTGTAGCTCGGGTGATCTGTTCAGATTTTGTTCTGCTCTCCGAGATGTACAGTTTCGTTGCAAACGCTCCCTCACCAATCGTGGTGAGTTCTTCAGTGCGTTATAAGCCAACTGAGTTGTTTTGTCGACTCTTACAGACGAGCGAGTGACATTTGAACTTGCTCACTTTGATTCAGGTCCCGTGACCATTGCTAGTTCGGAGTTGGAGCGCCGCCTCTTTTCGACTCATGTGAGAAATGATCCATGTAAACTCTTTTTTCGCAGCTGCCCGTATATCGATGGTTGGTTTATTGAACTGTCTGTAAAAAACCAGGCTTCGAGGAATTCTCTCCCTTTTTGGTCTCTCCTTGCGCTGATATCCCCGTTTTCTTCCATTCAAATGTGCCCTTCTTCATCAACGTGTGTGTCGAGACCAAGGATGATGGGTAATGGTTTCGACAGGCTCGTTTGTCTTAGTGTAGTCTTGTAGAAAATTTTCTTCCCGTTTGGCCCACATAGTTCACACTGTATCCTGTAACTAACGTTCCGGCGTTCATGTGCTCTCGTTTTCCCTTTCAGTCTAGACAGAGTTCCCTTCAGAGTGTTGGTGGGTATGTGAGCCAATAACAGATGGTATGAACACTGTGTTAGTAACGCTAGGTAATGCATCAAGTTTTAACATCCAAAGATTTCAAAGCTTTCTACGCTGCACTAAAACGATACCCAAAACGGATAGAAAAGCGCCTACTAATGACGGCCTAGGCGATTGCGTTCCGGCTAATGCAACCTGAATTGTGCAAAGAGAGGACGTTAGGGCAGACGTTACATTTGTCGTGGTGCTGATTTCACCATGAGCGTCTCTTAATTCGGTCTCAGGTGGTGATCCCGTGACCCCATGTGCTTTACGAACTTTATCGATTGCGATATCCGACCAACAGCTAGAGCAGCCTGTTTAGACAAATCAACCCTAGCCCAGCTATCTTAGGCTGCGGCAATTTTAGCCACTTTTATATGTATAAGCTTGAACAGAATTATTGAAAGGAAACTTCTTCGCGGATTTCAACTCTTGATTTATCTATTGTAAGCTAACCAAACTCGCCGGCAATTAATTGTTTTTTTTCACATGCATCCATCACTAGTTCGAAAAATACTTTCATCAAATTCAGGCTGTGGCCAGCCGCCTACGGGTCTCCTAAGGAGACTACCGTCACTTTTCCGACCCCAACCATCTCCTATTGCGATGGACGAAGAGCTCCATCGATCTGCGCATTCTAGACATTAACATTCCGAGTGTACCATTTCGTGTATCCTGTTAACTTCATCAGTACCATCGCCCAAGCACTGACAGCCAGGTATTTGGCCTTATTTAAGTGTAATCAAAAAATTTTATGATATTGAACCGTTAGCCCGCTTTATCCTGATGTTGAGAATTTTTGTTTCTTACTCAAAATTCAGGTTTTGATTGATGTTCTGAAAAAAGCGGTTATCCACGATCCGGCTGGCTGCCTTCCTGCTCTCCCATCGTCGAGATCAGATACACATTCAGCGCACTTCGGATGGCCAGCCCCTCAATACCGGCAAAGCGTTGGCGACAGTCTAGTTGTCGGTAATTCGCCAGATAGCAGCAGTTTTGAGACGCCTGGAATAAGTCGTGTCGCTGGTAAAAGTAAACTGCCAAGCGGAGCAGCTCGAGCATACACACCTTTTCCTTTAGAAGAAGTTGGTCACGTTGACGACTCTAGGACCCGAAGCAAGAACACCACGCACTCTTTCAGGTTCTCCGCCGAAGTAATACGATTGATCTCACTTGTACTACAGGTCATGGGGGTGAGCATTTCAATCTAGATTGATGCTGTTACTGCTGTCACTTCATGTTTAACTATGTAACTGGTAATCGATTCGCTGCTTGACATGGTGGTCAGTCCATAGGCAGCTTTTGAGTTTATAGAAAGTTTAGGTGCCCTGTATCACACTAAATTTCTTGTTTAAAGCGTTTGTCAGCAACTGCCACACGCAGCCTACTAGTAATTAGGAGACGAATTGGCTGTAATTGATTCCAAACAGAAATGCACCGATATGACCAGTGCTTTTCAACTGGTAATGATAACTGGGACTTACCTGCATTTGATAGGATTGCTCGTCTCCACGGACAACAACGACGGTACAAAAACGCACGCACACCACGCTCAGCGCACTCTCACCGAGGCCCCTCTACGCTATTCTACGCTACTGCACGCCACTCAACTACGCACTGATGATGTCACCTCGATTGGTGCCGAAACGTTTGCAACCAAATTACCAAGCTCAGCGAACAGTTCAACTGCCATCTGAACAACCTGAGCTACCAGTCTTCAATGCTATTACCCACATTTGATAACTAGGGGCTTGACTTCGTGTGCTCAGCGTAACATACGTCAGTCATCCTAGGACGATTATATTTAAGTGGGTGTCGGCTCTGAGCAACTAGTATTTCATTGGCTAGATCTCTGGCATGACGAAATTGGTTAAACCTTTCTATGGTAAGAACAGGTGAATAAGAATGAGCTTGTAAATTTTTAGCTGCGTACGGTAAAGCATTTGTAATTGTTTATTTATTACAATTTAAATTCAAGTGGCATATGTATCAAAGCACCTAAAACGGTGTAACTTGCCATAGATTTTCCGCGTTTACCTTATCAACCTCACCTTTCTTTTGTAGTCATTTGTATAAACCAGTGGAAATAGCCGAAGATTGTTTTAACCGGTGACATAAAGCAGACGCAATTACAGACTAACGAATAAGAGCAGTTAATATCAGCCTCTTTGTTCAGAAGTACGAAAAGCTGTACCCTTGGTACCTCAGACTATTTCGTGAAAATACAAGGCACAATAATAATTAGCAGACAAGGAGATCAAAGTACATTCGTCAAGGGATGGGCAAAATATTATTTTGTATTGCATAGCATAAAGCAATAACATGTACAGACTGACTCTCAGTTGTGTGGTGTGTAGAAGCTAATACATGATACCAAACTTTAACGGCATAAAAGCTACCATGCTAGAAAAGAACCATCTCCCAGTTCCACTTGACCCTAAATAACTCTTTGAAGAAACCAAGAGTGATAGGTGTGTAACATAACGCAACATGCTCGGTATACTTAGGCCCAACAACTTTATACTGGATAGTAAGTATTTCGAAGGGATGAAATAAGAGTAGAAAAGTGTTCCTTATAAGCACCACTCAAAAATCAGCAAGCAGATGTAGGGATTTTCCATTGTTGGGTTGCGTGCAATGGGCACGCTGCATTATATACTCATCTTACCAACGAACACTTGACTGAACAGCTCTCTTCTGTTATGTCGTTTAGCAGCTTTATTATGCTAGTGGTACGGAATGTTTATCGAGTTCTATAGAAAATCGGTGTGGACGGACACGATCTCTAAGCATCTTCGTGAACATCGCCAGTATAAATGAAGGCGAAAACTCAGCCAATGAGCACTCTGGAAGCATTTCGAAAGTACTGAAGTACAACTGCTCTGTTGGTGTATTTTTGTTATTTACCGGGCATCGGTTCTATTCTGGACAATCTGTGTATCTGTGAATCTATGCTAGCTGTCTTCAAATTGGCCATTGTTGCAGGAGATAATAAGCACAGTACCTTAGAGCAGCCAAAATCAAGGTCACCGTCCTTATCCAGCGCAATTCACTTTTGTTCATCACAAGTAGCAGTGGGAACAAGTAACATCGGAGAATATGGATTGATGCATGTAGATGGGGAAAATATACATACTGATATCAACAACAGCCACAGAGCCATTTCGGATTCTGCAAACTTTACCGGGCAAATGTTACTAAAGTCCCCATATTCCACAGTATCTTCCATTTGTTTAAAACTGTCCACTTTTTCGCGAACATTTTACAGTCCCTTGCATTAACTATGGTACAAGTTGTGTCCAGTGATAACCTTGACGTTTTGGAGTTATCCGACGTTCCGATTGTCTCCGATCTAGGCATGCAATTTTTGGCCAAGTGCTTTCCCCGACCTCTGTTGCACGCGCTAGCACTTCCTTTCATTCCCGAAGCCAAACTGAAGCCTAATAGCTGCCTAACTAATGTGTACTTTATAATTTGTTACAGCCCAACTTTTGCCTCAAGGACTTATGTGAACGACCCAGCCCGGACTACAGTAGCCGATGCCTGACATTACTGGAGGGTGGATACCACAGTTTGGCCACTTATCTGGGACAATTGATCATCCCGCTACTCTTCCGGTGTTGTTCTGGCCGAAAAGGTAGTTAAAAATTTTTATTTTGAAGAGCAAACATTTGCTTTCAGCTCCAAACTTTCAGGAACTGTCTAGCTTGCAGAAAAGACACCATCTTTTCGAATCGACCATTGGCCGGTCCTTCCATAGGTCTCTAGGAACGTCGGTTCCGAAACGAATAAACAAGCATGAAGGTTACTAATCAGTTCACTGCATTACAACCTAAGCAAACAGCTCAATTCACCCGGCAGAGTATTATCCAATTGGGATTTGTTACTAGTAAGCAGCTTCATGAACAGGTTGCATGCTTGTTACGTCACCCTACAGTCAGTTAAGCAGTTTCATTGGCCACCGGTGTCCACCATGGTCATGATGTTTTGACCTCACATGTTAGATCACAGGTCCGGTATATAGCAACTTATTTGGTCTGGAAAATGGAGCTTTCTAATAAGCCTTGAAAGGACAACATGGTACAATAATACATTCCTCGGAATCGCGAGGTATAGTCCTTTGCACATAGTCCAATTAATATGTAGACGTTCCGTTCATAACTCCGAGTGTAAATGAGTGGTTCAACAAAGCGAAAAATTTTGCTTTCGCTGGCTGCCGGATAATAATCGGATATTTCCCCCGAAATTGCCTCGTTCGTCTGTAATAGTCATCCCATCATAACATCAGACGAATGGCTGTCCCGAAGGCCACAAACCAAAATAGTGTGATGGAGATAACGGGATTATAATTCCATCATTGCATATAGGATTGCAAAGAACAGCATAAACTTATACGTAGAAATTACTTGAATATTGGGTAGTAAAATGTTATAAGTTTCATGAGTACAAATTGCACAGCGGAATCTATTTAGTTTATGGGAAGCTATAGTACACATTAACGCAGGCTGAGCATTGAGAACTATTCCGGAAATGCGTAGTACATCTCTTTTGGAAGCGTCATTCGTGGCTAGTATGCGCGATGCAGGGTATTTAGGACTACTGGGTTGTCTGGTGATTAAAAATTGTTGAGTACATACGTGATAGGACGACAACGTTTGCGATTCGAGTTAGGCAGGTACTCGGACCAGAAGAAGGTCAGCAAAAGAGTTAGGATATGTTAAACTGAACCTGAGCGGTGGTTTGATCAATTCCTCCGTTGTTTTAGCAGTGAACGATAAGGTCAAGTACATCTGAACCGAAGTATTGTGGGATAAGATGCCTTGAAGTTCTACTGAATAGACCTCGATGTCCAACCTACCCAACGCGTCAGTCGTTCCGCAAGCAAGTAAAATGGAAGTGAACTTGCGAGTAAAGAGACAGTTAACTGGTTTTGAGTGCTCAGCCGACCAAATTGCTAGTGGTTTAATTGACACATGGTAGCAGTGGAGCCAAATAGAATTGAGGTAATGATTTGATGGTCAAGACGGGCTGAACGGGATAAAATGATGTCTGGATATCCAACCCATCGATGTGCCAGCGGAGCCATCAGTCAACGGTGAGCATTCGGACCGGGTAAAACTGGAGAATGCAATAGCAAACAGAGTTAAACTGCGGAACAACAACTCTTTCCGATGTGGCTCACGCGAGCATTTTCAACTCTTGTTTATATACTGTCCAGACCTTGTTTATGCGCTTGAGAAATAGTTATGGAACAGCCCAGAAGTGTAATTGCCCCGTCGATTGTTAGTTAATTGTCAATCATTTTACGAAAATTCTGCTCCGATACCCTGATACGGATGTCGACCAGGAGTCTGTCCCATGTTCCGCAGTACTGATTCAGAAAAACTTTTGCTAATATGTTAGCGTTTGACACTCTCCGCTAGATGATTTGTTAGTTGCGTGTATTGGGCATAGTTGGTTTTAAAAACGCTACTTTTATGCCGGTCACCTACTTTTGCGTAGAATATTGGAAAACAGTGTTAAGTTTACCTTTAAGCGTCGTAGCTAGACTGTGTCGAGCTTAAGTAGATCACTTCACTCAGAACAGGATGGTGTTGAGCAGGCGCTTATTAGGCGTTTAGAGCGCGTTTGCTGCGCTTGTTTTATGGCGATATGATCATGCTTTCTTGAGTTACTGTATAACATCGAGCAGTATTAAACCAAACGCGGACCACACGACTCACACACTGCACCAATGGAATCTCATAGTGTAAAATCTATGCATGAGCTGTTTGCTCTAGCTGTTGCATAAAACCTATTGTGAGAAGTTCAAGGAGTATGGATCCACAGATGTTTTGACAGTTAGTGGTTTACCATCAAGCGTCGGGCATTGTTGTCAATACGGCATTTGTCAGTAGTGGACCCCATTTTCCACGTGACGTGCCAAATTTTAAGCGTATGGAGGTCGAGCTGGATTTTAGTTGGAGTATCACTGTGATTGGTAGGATTGAAGGTATAAACTACTTTGATGACATCGGCAAAAGAATGTGACATTCCGGATGCTACTAAGCTGAAGATATCATTTACGTATATTAGAAACAGTGTTGGATCAAGAACACGACCTTGTCTACTCGGCCGGTGGCCGAGTGGTCTGCACGCCTGGTTTGCAATCATAAGGTCACTGGTTCGAATCTTTGTATGGATAAGCGTACTCGCGGTATACGCAGCCCGCGCGCGATGGTTAGTGGTCGCGGGGCAGCGAAATGCCGCTAAGGCGTACGGTTGACACGTTATTATTATTACTATTTTTATTATGATTGTTATCATTACCTTGTCTTAAGATCGGCCGTGTCCTCCAGTTAGAACATGTCTAGTAGTTGATTAAGACTAAATGGGCCAGCATTCCCGTTCTGAGCAAGACAAAGTGTCCGAGTTGATTATCGTGACGCTTTCAATCCCTTGACCCACTGAAACAACCTACATAAGGTAACCAATCCGTCTTCTGATGAGGCCAACGGCATCCTTTCGATGGCCACAGCGACGGTGACTGATTAACATGTGCTCTCGCGGACGCTACTTTCATTTTTCTTCAGCAACAACCAACTGTTTTCTTAACATTGGTCTGATAAAATCGTAAGCCAGACGTAGATGTCTGTCCATCAGAGCTTCGACTAGGAAGCAGCCGGCCGGTCATTGCTTGCAGTAGTTGTGTTGTTTACTCGGATTTCCACTGTTCTCCCTTCCCCCATGAGCATCAGTGAGGCTCGCTTAAATGTCTCCACAAATCTCTTTGGTTTACATGGGATCCTCCGGAGTTAAATAGGTGTTGATGACCGCAACTTTTTGATCGACATATCGGGAAGTTACAGATGAAAACTCCAGTCAGTTCCGAGAACGTTGGCTTCATAAGCAATTAGATAGACCGTATGGTGATCGTGCTTACTAAAACTTTCCAGCTGATTTTGCTACGACCGGAACTGCTGTTACGAAGGATTGATTAAAACGTTTTCCTGACATTGTAAGTGTAGTTGGATGATGGAAGCTCTAGCATGGCTTTATGGTGCTTGGAGTTAAGTGGACTCTGAGACTGATGATGAATTCAGTATACTGTAATGTCAAGGGACTGATTGCACTGTCAGAAAGTGACTGGCGGTCACAAACGAAAATTAGACACTTGAATTTATCATCGTTCATGGTAAACATACTGAACCGTTCTCACTCAAGACTGATTTTAGCAGCTTACGCAATGAAATCTTCACCTTTCTGTTTGACCAATTTCACGCAGTATTACTATTAAGGAAGGAAGAGCGCACGCCGACAATTTCTGACGATCAGTGGATAATTTCGGTGAAATCGAGATCATTCGTGTTCTCGAGCAGTATAACATTCCAGTAACATGTGTGTTCGATTGTGCCAAGCTTTTTGAGCAGCATCGTGGCTCGACATGTGTCGTCCTTCTGCTCTTATCTTTTGGACCAAGGTCCACATATCCGACCAGCATCATGTTTGAAATTGAATTCCGTGAGGCTTTTAGCCATCGCTTAAGTGCATTTTCATCCGGAACTGGAATTGATAACTTGATGTTGAACTGCTTTATCAACCCGTCCAATAGTTGCTTTTGGGCTGCCTCGACCTGTGTCGGCTACTGATGCAGGATATCCTTAAATTCATCTGCAGTTATTGGCATTTTGCGGGGTTTTTCGTCACTAAATCTGTTGTGGTCTAACCGCTAGAGAGGTCCAACTAATTTGACCATGAAAGAGAACACAATCAGTTCTAGTATCAAGTCCATCATCTAACATAAGGAGCCTTTTATTTATTGAAAAACGCACAAATTCTGTGCACACACCAACGCCGCCACTTCTTGAGCCCACCCAACAGTTGCGTTCGCCGCTGCCTACCTAAACAAGTTATCAACACCGTATGGGTGCTTTAGTGCTTTGTTTGAATAAACGTCTACTAAGCAAGAAGTCAAACTAGAATATGCGGATAATTTCTCTATCGGTCATATTCAGTTTGCTTCCGTGGCAGAAGCATCCTTGGGAATTGCTGGTTCCTGCACATCTGAACGAAGTGGGGATTAAAGAGCAGGTATTTGTGGAGAAATATCACACCATGGCCTATGGTCAGAGCGGTTCCCACTGATTCACTATATGCTATCCAACTGCTTTTTTTATACTTCATTGGCTCATTCGCGTCTAGTGTCTGGGAAATCGGCGTCCGTGTAGAGTTACTCTGCGCCGAATTGATGTACAGTGCATAGAGTCTTTGTCAAACACTCGCAACTTGCGTTTCAGTCACATTTGCCACCGGCACGCATTGTCTTCACGACATCTCATCCTCTACTCTTGAGTGGGATTGTGGTCAAATATCTTTCGGCGCGTCAGCAGGTTCCACGATACCAACTAAGCTAGAGAGGTTAAAACGGATGTTCAATTCTCCTTCGGACGTTTGTTGGTTTTATGATTGACTATCTGACCCTAAATGAGAGATGTTATCCGAGCTTTCATTATGACGAGTAATGAAAGACTTTTCAACTTACGTAAATCGGGGTAACATGTCATCTTGTGATAGAAGAAGAGTTATTGAGATAATATATTTTCAATGTGCCAGATGCTTTATAGTAGAACATAAATGGAAGATGATTGCTTAAGGAGG